AGTGCTGAGACGCGATTTCGCTACGGCATATGGGATTTTGCCGCGGAGGGAGTTACGTACGCCGGCAAAAACTTGCTTCAGCGATCGGCTCCAGAAAATTTATCTTTATGCTGCCGCTCAAGTCTTCTAAATGAGGGTCTGCATGGGGGGGTCCTGGCAACGGTTAACGGTGAATTCAGCAGGGCCGATAACGCTTAACGGTAAATTCAGGACGGTCGGCAACGCTTAACGGTAAATTGACAGACTTTTTTTCGTTCGAGCTGCACTGGATTTGGTATCTCGCTTTGTGAGAAAAGGTGATCACTGACAAAATTACGTATATCTTACATGTAATGAAGCACGCATTAAAGGTATGTGTTCCCTGTGTTCCCCACATGCCCTGGTCCCCGAGTGCGTCCACAAATAAAGGGGAGTCCGAGTCGACGTCGGCCAGCTTGCATTTTTTCAGTCTGCCCAGTGGATTTTGAGAGGGGAGCGTCGTAATCTAGGGGGGTCCGGGGGAAATTTAGGATTTTTAAGCCTTCAAAAACGCAATTCCCACATTTTGAGAGGCAAATCATGGTGTTGAGAGTGTTTGTCGGTCCTTCTGACGTTTTCATATTTTACTCAAGATTTTTGTTAATTTGCCTGTCAAGGTTGACGGATTCTTGAAAAAAAATTCTGTAACTCTCCGCAAACTTCCGGAAATTGACAGGAAAGCTGGTTCTGGCTAGAGCCGAAGGGACCGAGCGCAGAAGCGCGAGTCCAGCGCCAAAGGCGCGAGCAATGTAGGGGGGTCCGGGGGCATTCTCCCCCGGGAAATTTTGTATTTTGAACCTTCAATGACGCATTTTCCTGCACTTTGAAAGGCAAAATTAGGAGTAACGAAGAATTATTCATTAACGCTTAACGCTGAATTTAGGATGACAAATAACGTTTTACGTTGAATTAAAACGACCAATAACGCTTCACGAGGAATATACTGATAACGCTTAACGTTAAATTAGAGCGGGACGGCAACGATTAACGGTAAATTAAAATAGCCCATAACGGTTAACGAAAAAGGGCATGCAGACCCTCACGTATGGACCCATACATCTGCAGATTGTGGTCCCAACCTTGTATGGACAGAATGAGATTATATCTCTCTCCAAGTCCTAACGTTACCTGAGGTTTGCCTCGATGTTTTCCGGCAGTATCTCCTCCTGCACCCTCCGGCCCACCGAGTCGTCCCCGTCCCTGACCAGCTCCTCCGCCCAGGGCGCCGAGCCGGCCTGGCGGGAGAAATAACCGATCACCACCCCGAGGACAACTCCCACCACCAGCCCTATGGCCGCCACAAGGAGAAACCTCCCCTTTCCATCCATGGCGATGTATAGACGTTTACGCAACCTCTTGCTGATGAAATAGCTAAAACACGCAGTTTGTGACCCTTGGTTTGTGCGGTGCGACCAACTTGGCTCTCAGCCGATCGACGTGTACCTGGCACCACCTGCTGTGGATTGTCAGCAATTCCCTATAAATCTTCGAACCAGGAAAGGTCGCCGAGCTGGCAGGGCGAAAATACGCAGGACAGGGTCTTGATTGAATCCGTTAGTTCCTTCTCCGTGAGTGTGCCGGTCCCGATATGCGACCTTGCCGTTGGGCCTTGACCTCTCGTCACAGCCGCTGCTTGCCCCTGCTTGAGTCTTGCCACAGTTGCACAGAACGGCGTTCAGTCAAAAAGGGGCGTTTTCCTGGCACACAACACAACACAAGACAAGTCGAGTCCAGTGCTTACTTTCTGTCCTCCTAAATTTAGTAGCCGCAATTACTGCGTGTATATTGTCACACGTGGCTGGTTACGGCGCCCATACACCTACGTTTGTTTCGTGTTTGCCTGGCTCCTTTCCAAGGGGCGTACGGTTTACATATCTCAACCCCTGCTGCTGAGAATACGACAGAAACCATCTGTGGTCAGGCACCGGTAATCCCTTCTGTCTTGTACTAAATGATCAGTGCCAACAGAAAGACTCCAGAAATATTTCAATGCTCTGCTGTATGTGTAAATGTACCGAAGTTCACTGTTGAAAAAAATGGCAGCTCAAAACGCCGTTAGTGACCCTTGATTTTTGACTTGATTCAGTCTATCCGCGGGTAAATGATTACCTGCACCTTTTGTCGTGCCATTGATTCTCTGCGTGAGAAAGCAAAACCAGATGTAGACCATGATTACGTGAATTATTTTTATCTTTTCCTGTCATACATTATCCTGGATACGTGTATGTACGAGTAGATATTAGACAACAAAGAAATTCACTTTACTGTGATCAAGATCGGGTCGCAATCAAACCTGCAAATATACGCACTACCAAAAGGGGGCGGAATCTACTCACACCATACAAGCTCATTACTGGTGTGATAGATGTGAGTTTGTAAGTAAATTTTTTCAGACGACGTATGTTGTGCAACAATTAATCACTATGAATTTACTTAGTAAATAAATATCAAAGAAAGAAGGAAAACAAGCTGGACATATCATTAAAACCACCGATTTATTTTGTAGCATTTCCATGCCAGGTTCGAGGTAAGAAAACAACACGGCTAAAAATATAACATCACTTATGTCATATATCCAAGGTAGAAACCACAAAAGAGAATGACTTGGATAGATTTCTACACTGATGCAAATAACAGTGACATTTTCTCATCCATCATACATATTGATTAGGACATTTTTTTACATTGGTCAACATGAAAAGGTACAGGACACACTGATGTACAACTCTAGCGGCTGCTAATATTAGGACATCAAAAAGACATACAAAAAGTACATTGCATTGATGAACGCATCTTCCACATTATATGCTTGAATATATATAAAATAGACACGATAATGTTGCCTTGCTCATCACAGTCTCTTGTTTAGTTGTCTACGAAATATATCCTAATTACACACAGGTGAAAATTCATTTATATGAAAAAGTGTTCTGGTAGACGTAACCAACTTCCCGTTTACCTTGCATTGGAGCCGTTGCGTTGCACACAAGTAGAACAAATATAATGGAGATACAAAAATTAACCAAATATTATACATACATTGGATTTTTTTGCTTTGTTACTGGGATGAGTCCCTTAGCTCATCAGTGTTGTTGAAGGTCGTGTTTAAACTCATGCTAGCCGACCTAGCTACATCCGCTTCACTATGATACAAATCTCTCTGTACAAATCTCTGAAATCTCCCTGACAATCATTTCATGATTTCCACAATAAAAAATCGACCACATCAATACCAGACGCTTGCCTTCTTATGCGTCTGATTGACAAACAGCCAAGATCCGAAGGGCGCTCTTTATATTCACTGTATTTATATCATAACGTTACATATATACTTGACCGTACTTTAACATTAGAGAGGTCGTATTGCACCAAGCATGATGAAGAATAATGTTAAGTTAAATTGAATGACGTTTTACCATAGTCCACGTTTTTCATCCCATTCTTCTGGCATGGTAAAAATGGCAGCTGTTTTTTTCCAAATCATATTTGGCCTGTCAATACACAAACATAGGCACGGCGCTTATTTGCGCCCTGGTTAAGACATGCTGCTTTGCAGCCAGACAGGGATATACAAAATGTTTAGCCACCTAAATGTTTCGCCACCTTATGACCTATTAACGGTTCGCGTACATTATACCTGTAAGAATAGACCAGTTCACTGAATGTAGAAAGATTTGTACAATATTGCTGGCCTAGTCTATCCACACAGCAATGGTAGCGACATTTGTGAAGAGCTAATAAGGTTTTCGTACCTACCAGTCTTTTGTATGGAGCTTGTTGCGATTTGTTTGTCTTTCCTGGCAGTTTGTAGCAGCGATTCCTAAGGTTTACTATATTTAGACAAATGAATTTGACGTCTCTTAATATGGCACAGATAGAGGAAATGACTCCAAGAGTATCACTGAGGTACAATTTTTATCTCTTCCATTGAAACGCCCGTTTCTGGGTTCGCGGTGAGATTTAATTGACTCTCAGTCTTGCCCTTGTTTTTCTGCCCCTTTTCGTCTTTCAAATGGTCCAGCCAGACTTTCATGTCGTCGGTCATCAGTGGGTTGTCGTATCTGCCCTGTACTTTCACGTCTTGTAGCACGACGCCGTTTTCAGCGCTGCGGTTGGAGGTGCTGAAGTGGCCGGCCTGGGACTCGTCACTCCTGTTCTCCTTCAGGTTGGCCGCTCCTTGCGGGCCCAGACAGGACAGCATCACGGGAAGGAACACAATCCCGTGCACAAGCCCGAACACGATGACCAGGAACACCGTCTTGAAAAACGTGCGGAAGCCGTAGGAAGGCGCCGTGCTCAGAGCAGCTATACCCAGAATGGTCGACAGCGACCCCTGGAGGATCGGCACGCCCAGGCTGTACAGCGCGTGGATGGCTCTGGCGTTACGGCCGCTGTCCTCCGCCGTGACGAAGGAGTAGACGATGTGGGCCGAAAAGTCGACGGAGAACCCGATGCACATGATGAGGTTGATCATGGACACGCTGTCCAAGTTCACGGCCCAGAGCGTCATGAAGCCTAACACCCCCGTGCAGATGGACGTGATGGCGAGAGTCACCCAGACGGCGTTGATGGGATGGGGCATGAGGAACAGAGACACCACCAACATGGCGGCCGTGGCGATACCCAAGTTTTGCAAGGTGTTGGGCAAAATGGCGACGTACTGATCGTAATAAACGAACGCTGGGTGGAATACTAGTGTTTCTACAAATGCCTCAGATGCCAACTCTCTCATCTTCAGCATCATGTTCTTCTCCTTTTGGGTCCCGTCAATTTGTTTTGTCTGGACGAAAAACCGACTGGCTATGATTTCAGTGCCATTTTCATTGAACAATATGTCATGAGCATACCTCTTAAATGCAGATCTTTCATCAAGAAAGCGGTCTCTGAGACACTCCATGAAGGACGTTTTATTAGCAGGGTCCAGTGGTGGTAGATAAGGATTGAGGCAGAACATGTCTATGTATTTCAAATAATCACGTAGCCATGATTCAGACTCGTTTTTGCCATACGTAAACGCCGTGTCCTCAAACCCCGCTAACATGTTCTCCAGGCGATCCTGCACGTCAGGGTCCCAATAGTCTAGTTCCTCTTTCACGACCACGGCGACCCTGGCGTCGTACTCGCTGAAGTAGCGGTCGTCCTGCTCGAGGAAGCGGGCGACGTACGAGGCGTCTCCCGCCAACTTGCTGAGCTGGACGCCCTCCCTCAGCTGGACGCACCCCCAGATCGCGACGCCCAGGTACCCGAGAAACACGATCATGACGGCTACTTTAACCCACACGTTTGTCATGAAAGGCCCGTAGTACTTTTTGAAGAACAGCATGATGAGGTGGTCGTTGTGATCCTTGCCGTCCTGCTCGACCCCGGCCTTCGCGTCGCCCCTGCAGCACGACTGCTGACAGCAGCCGGCCTGGTCGTCTTTTGACGGAAGGGGCACCGTCATGCACGTCAGGAAATGTCGGTTCTGTTTCTCTCGGTGGCCGTCATATATCATACACGCCCCGAAGAAATTGAGCTGAAACAAGTACGCAAACACGATGGCGATCCCGCTGTACATACAGAAGACGCGGACCCCCGGGAAGCTGGTGATGGCGCCCACCGCGAAGGCCAAGGCGTTGGTCAGGGTCGTGATGGTGATGGACACTCCGGCCTCGGCGTAGGTGTTGGCTGACCGTTCTTCCACGCTGTCCCACGGGTTGGTCTTCCTCCACGCAGCCAGCAGGATGAACATGTTGTCCACGCCCACACCTGGGTGGGAATATTGAATTAGTGAGAATATTGCTAAGGGAGTGTTGCGGAAGTAGTTCTTGCTAGGCAACAACACCCCCAGCGCTAGGTGTCAAACGCCTAGGTTTAGCCTGGTTACGAAACCTATTTTAGGTGCCGAGTCTCTTTCGTCCTCTTCGCAAATATTTGCTGACGAAAATAGGTTTGGTAACTGGGCTAAACTAGGTTACAAGTACCGTGTACTTACCTATGACCAGGAAAGGCATCGCGGCCACCAGTGTGTTGAACTTGATCCCGCAGTACGACATCAGGCCGATGGTCGCTAGGACGGCCATCCCCGCGCCCAGGACGCCCACCATTCCCAGGAAGGGCTTACTGCGCACCGGGTCTATCATTAGGCAGGACAGGATGGCGAAAGCCATCAGGATGCTGCCGGTGTAGGCCGCCAGCGCGGGGACGGTACTGATGGTGAGATCCGAGATCTCCGTCTCCAGGGAGCGGGACGTCGACCACGTCACGTCGATGGAGTCCGAGGAGAACGTCGCCATGTAGCTGAGGAACGCGCGCTCCCATGCTTCGCTAGACTCGTCGTCCTCTTGGCTGGAAGACCGGAGATGGTAGATCAGCTTCAAAGCCGTCGCCTTCTCTACAGTAGTACTATCCGCACCGTCTTCCAGCAGCGTCACGCCGCCAAGGACAGCGCCGCTGAAAATTCTGTCCTGGAGCGGGTATCCCACCGTAACGTTAGGGACCTGCGCCGCGATGTAATCCAAAAAGTCCAGGCCGGTGACGACGCATTCAGATTCCCATCTAGCACACACGGACGTGTAGTTCAAACCGCGATCCTCTGTCACTATTCGAGTGATGTTTTCATGGAGAGAAACAGTCGCGTTCACCACTGACTCGTGTAGCACATTGTCCACTATTTGGCCACAACCCCTGACGATGATTGCTGCGTACCGCCCAGTCGTGATGAGCCGGGAGGGTAGAAAGTGTTCCGAATCGTTGATGGGGAAATGGTCCTGGATGTATCCCCTATCAAACTTCCCTGCCCCGTTGTCGGGCGTGTAAAGCTTCTCGATTGAATTCTCGTTGTCTATAAAGTAGAGTCCTCCTCCCAGACCTCCGGCCACTAGCAGGGAGACGAACAGAAAGACGTGTGGCTGTTTCGCTATCGTCCGTCCGAACTTTTTGAACCCGTTGCTCATCCATCTTTCAAAGAAGCTGTGCTCCATCATGGTGTTAGAGAACGTCTTGTTGCCCAAAATCAATAGTTCAGTCCGCCAAATGCCTGAAATGCGACGGAAAAAACAGTTAACAAGTTGAGCGGAGAAAAAGAGACAACAACAACAACAACATTATCAATGATGATATTGCCTTCATTGCAATATGAGTCATAACCTTTGTAATTATGAAGCTCATTGGAAGTCCAAGCATATCTTATATGATAGTGTGTACAAAAAAATGTCACGAAATTCGTGGATTGGCAAGGCCTGGTAACATGCGGTGATCTACAGGTTCTGCTTCTTGTCCGTCAACCAAGCCCTCCCATCTAAATTTGATCTTTGATAATGGCAACGTTTCTTATAAGCCTTTACACCAGACAGTCATTCCAGGAGATTGGTAGCCTTGGATGACGAGTCCGAGTCCACCAGGCTCAACCTCGCTTTATAACGTACCGGCCCGAGCCTTGACCAGGTGTGTCAAACCACTGTGGGACTTTCTGCCAGTTATACAACTGTGAGATGATGAAATATCTACATGGACATCTAGCGAGGTTATATAACCTCACCTCGCAGCATTACCTGTTTAACCTTTCCCCCTACTTTTCTTTGTGTCTATGACAAATACGGCCCGGTGTCTGCTTGCAGTCCTGTCACCGCCGTGACAGCAAACAAAGCACCACGTCAGCGTTAGGCTCGGCTACATCTGCCCTGTATCACATGTACTGCGTTTTACTATTCACCTTCGCAATGTGTATTCCTTTGTGATGATGACAAAAATATGTTGAGTAAACTAAAATGCATTAGAAAATTGATTGAACAATTTGTGCGATAAGCATTAGCCTTTCAATTCAAAATAATTGTAGACGTAGCGACTTTCTTCAATTGTGACAAACAGATCTACATCATTATGCATTTTAGAATAAAAGGTTATAGTGCATTTGCCGATCCACAACTAGGGAAACGTTCAAATCGACGTCCATCGACTTGAACAACACACTATATGCTAGTATCAACGGGCAAAAATGTAACAACAACTGATAAACTAATTCAATGTAATTGGTACTGATATTTCACTCGAGATTAGCATAAAGATGTAACGTTTGATTATCACTGTAAGAGGCTCTTTGTAAACATTCCTACCGACACGTCCTCAAATTAACTGTTTTAAGACATGCAGTTGCATACCTGTGTGCTTTTTCAACGACGCACTGATGATGTATTCTTTGATGGCCAAATTGTGTGGACTGTGCAAATTGCACAAACCTTGTTATCTCTTAAGTGTGTATGAAAATGGTAACAAATTAATGTGCCTTGTCAACAGATAGCTGTTCATACACTGTGGTCTACGGATGCTTCGTTTTTTCGGTGACTGAAAAAGACCATGCAAACATTCTTGGGAAAACAATGACTGGAGTACATTTGTAGAAGGACACCGGGACATAGACCGCACATTGTCTACGATAAGTTCGTCCTAAATTACCACCACCAACAATGCAACACATGGATGTCTTGTGAAAACACCAATGTAAAAGGCACCGTTCGGATAGGATTTGAGTTGGCACTATAATAACACAGAGATGCTTTGCTAGTTTTGGGATCCTCTTGATTCTATACTTCGTCAAACTCGAACAACAACGACAAGAGATCGGTCGACATACGTTACGTTCAGTAGACTGCCTGGTACCGTTGCACCCCCGTTAAGGTCAGTAGAAAGTGTTCAAGAATGAGAGCAGTGGTTGCTATCTCACCGTGCCAACGTTTCAGATGACCCAGATCACCGGTATTGTTATGTTAAGGTAGGAGGTTGCATCTCCTTAGTAAAAAAATAGCCACCTGCACCTATTACACGAACATTTTAATCCTAGTACGTCGTAACTGATTTAATACTTGGCAGATTTATGAAGAGAACCAGTTGGGCCATGCCGTTTAGTCCGGGTCATTTAGGGAACACCTCCACAACTGACCGACAGGTTGTGTTGCCTGATAATGACGTCACTCACCATGGCGAATAAGCGGCAAACACATGCCACGTACATCATGCGTATCGTCGGAGTACGTGTGTATGATATGGTATTGCTGTGTCAGTGAAATACTATAATGATATTTCGTGACGAACATTCTAATGCATATAGAAAGCAGCATTACAAGCCCAAAAAGTCAAACCCGTAAGCCTGCTACGTCTAGTGACCTACTGGATGTTTTCAGCCATTTTGTTTAGAGATCTTTAGCAGAGGGGAGGCGTGGTTTTTCTGACTATGTATGTCACCGTGCCGTGACCAAGCCCCACGTTTGAGATAAACTGCAACCTTTGAGCGTCAAATTAGCGACGATTTCTGGTAACAGTTGCATACTGTTTGTCCCAAAATTGGTCAGATGAGATGATAAAAATTGTGCACGTGGTATTGCTATCACGTATCGGGATACACTGCTAGCAATCCTGAAACTGACATTTTCTAAAGAACTTGTAGAGGACGGAGTGGAGGGAATTATTTCTTGTGGGATCATAATGATTTGTGTGGCACATGCCAGTTTTATATAATGAAAAATGACACCTTTAAAACATCGTTGTCTCAAAGTGTTGGTTTCTCTCAAACTTGCGTCTTAAAAGATGATGATTTTGGATACATAGAAACCAAACTAAACGTTTTGATACTCTATACAGGTGTGTCACATGCACAGAGGTGTGCAGTTTGGACAGCCACAGAGAAAACAGAATACGAGGGGGAAACGGCAGGGGAAAGGGGCAACACGGGTCACTTGTCAGAAATATTTAGGGAGAATTTTAAGAAATAAAGGTAAGGGATTATTGTCAAACTTCCGTCTTGTCCTATATTTCTTTATTTGAACAGCAGCAGTGGCTTATAGCACTATGTATTGAATGTTTTTGGTCTATACCTTTAGTTGCTTCTCGTCCTAGTTGGCGTTGGTTCCTTTGTCCGACAGAAACCCGACTCCAGCCCCTCTGCAATGGTCGCTCAAGAAGAACACGTTACCACGCAGTGCCAGGCGGCTTGGCTGCGACGTAGAACCTGGCAAGGTGTTCACTGGAACAAACGTACATCCTTAAACCGAACGTTGTCGTCTTTATATAAGAAGAAGTAGCCGTCTGATAGGTCGGAATTTGACGTCCGTGACTCATAGGCAGATGCCCGTCCCGTGGATTGCGTATTAAGAATGGCGAGCTCAACTGAGCCGTCTCTCTGTTTGATTTTGTCACGGCCACACCCTTTATTTACGTGTGCACACCTAGCTCACCTGTCACTGCGGTCAAAGGACGAGTGGCCGTCTTGTTTGTTACTTATGACAGATCGGTAAATATGATATACAGCCAGTGTACTGTTTTTTTCCGATCTCGGTGACGTCATAACTGGGTCGCTATTTCTGCAGGCTGCCATGGAAACTGACAGATCTACCTGTCGGTCACTTAAATTTTAATGAGGTACTTTTCCCGCTCATTCAGTACGCAGCCAAACATGTCAACTTGCCAATTTTTTCGTCGTTATGTCGTATTAAGTCAGCATGTCCTAACCTAGAGATAGGCCTATAGTAAGATTTACTGATAGTGTTTTATCATCATCAGACCATTGTGTTTGTTTAACCTCGGACTTTTCGACATGTTCTTATCATCTAAGCAGCATACTGAAGAAGATACATTTTCTCTGCATGCGCCTGGCACTATAAAAATACTGCATATAGTTCAGATGCTCAGAAAAGAGATGGTGTTGGTAATAACTAGACGAATAGTTAATTTATGTGCCCTTTTCTTCTCACACAAATCTAGAATATTGGTGATGTCTAGATGCGTGAGTATCGGACGGTAGTTTTTGAATCCTTGTTTGCTCCGTCCATATTTGTGTGTGTGAGTGTACATGTATGCGCTAAAACGACACATAAAGATTTGGACTTTTTTCTGATGACTACTGGGTTGAATACAGAAGCTCAAATCACTGAAGTGTAACCACGCATGTCACTCATACACTGCACTAACGTGACGTCACAGCACCTGGGTACACTTCTGTGTCAATGACCCACAGCGCGTTATTGTGTTATCAGCAAAGCTCGAGAAATATTTCACTGCTCTCCTGTGAAGTACGGTTCACTGCTAAAGAAATTGGCAGCTCAAAACGCCGTGACTGCATGACCCTTGATTTTTGACTTTACTAAACGTATCGGTGGGTAAATGATTACCTCCACCTTTTGTCGTGACATTGGTTCTCTGTGTGAGAAAGCAGTGTAGACCATGATACGAGAGTTCTCCCCCCCCCCTTTTCAACCTTTATTTAGCCTTGAAAATGTACAGTATGTAATAGTACCACTCTTCGGCCTGAGCCGCTTTTCAAGAGGTCAAGGGAGGTAGGTCAGGGGTCTTTTCAGTCATACATCTATCATCTACCCTGGATACTAGTTTGGAGATATCAGACAACGAAGACGTTCATATACATTGTACATGTATGGCGGGAAATATACACACTACCAAAAGGGGGCGGAATTTATCCATATACTCATATCATTGCTCACCAGTATTATACCACATTTACTTAGAAAAAGAATCCTCATAGAAAGAAGGAAAACAAGCTGTACATATTGTGTACATCACATTTATTTTGTTGCACTTCCATTCCAGATTAAAGCTATTAAGGAAACAAAACGGCTAACATACATAGAAAAAGTACAGGTGACTTTTAAAAACGGTAGAAACCACGAAAGAGGATTACTCGGCTACGCTGATCTGAATAATAGTGAGATTTTCTTGTGTAAGTCCATCAGACATGTTGATTAGGACATTTCTTTATCTATTGGTCTACATAAAAAGGTGATGTGCAACTCTAGACTGCTAATATTAGGACATAAAAAAAGACATACACAAAGTACATTGCATTGATGAACGAACACATCTTCCACATCATATACTTATACAAGTCTCTTGTCTGGTTATAACTAGTAACTCCCTACGAACGGGTGAATAAACCTTCATATGAAAAAGTATCCCGGTAAACGTAAATAACGTCCCCTATACCTTGCATTGGCCTGTTGCTTTACACACAAATAGAACACATGTCCCCGACAATCATTGTCATGAAGTGCATTGCATTGATAGACGCATCTTCAACATAATATACTGATATATATTCATGTATAGTTATATATAACAGACACAGTAATGTTGCCTTGCTCATTAAAAAAGTCTCTTGTTTACTTGCTTTTGTCTATAAATTAACTCCCTACACACAGGTGAATAATCCTTCATGTGAAAAAGAAATCTGGTACGAGTACGTAACCAACTTCCCCTATACCTTGCATTGGCCTGTTGCTTTGCACACAAGTAGAACAAACAAGTTGCACCTTACTTAATCAAATATTATACATACATTGGATTTGTTTTTGCTTTGTTACTGGGAAGAGTCCCTTAGCTCATCAGTGTTGTTGAAGGTTGTGTTTAAACTCATGCTAGCCCGCCTAGCTACCTCCGCTTCACTATGATACAAATCTCTCCGTACACATGTCTTAAATCTCCCAAACAATCATTTGACAAATCCCACAATGAATACTCGACCTCAGTTACCAGACGCTTGCCTTATCATGCGTCTGATTGACAACCGTTAACCAGCCAAGATCTGACGGGCGCTTTATAGGAACGTTTACTTCACACACAAATCCCCCTGTATTCACTGTATTTATATATCTTTATCTATACATACAATAAATTTAGTTTCTATATAAAAGTACTTGATTATAATTTGACATTAGAAAGGTCGTATTGCGCCAAACATGAAGAAGAAGAATGTTAAATTACATTGAATTACATTTTACCATAGTCCATGTTTGCATCACATCCTTCCCTCATGGTAAAAATGGCAGCTGGGTTTTTCCAAATCATATTTGGCCTGTCAGTACACGAACGTAGGCACGGGGATTATTTGTTCCCCGCCGGTTAAGACATGCTGCTTTGTAGCCAGACAGAAGTATATAAGATGTTTAGCCACCTAACCATGGCCTTTTTAACGGGTTTGAAAAATGTCTGAAAAAGGTTACACTATCCACACAAGGTTTTGTATGGAACTTGCTGCGATTTGTTTGTCTTTTCCTGGCATTATGTAGCAGTGATTTCTAAAATCTAAAGCACCACGAGCTGATGCAGTCTTGTATAGACAATGATGGAGAGCGATGTGCCTCCCTGTGGAGGTAGGGACGAGAGGTTTCATCTGTCAGTCAACATGGAGGATGCTAGGAGTGGTAGTAGTGAAGGGCAGAAGAATGAGAATAGTGACAAAGAGAGCCGCAGCGGAGACAAAGAAGGCATCCCATTGGCTCTGGGTCAAGAGCACAGACAGAGTGGAAAACCATTGACTAGCAGTGTTTAGCCAGCACTGCTGCCCGCCTTCCGGAGTAGGTTTTGCTATAGAGAAGGCAGCTGATGAAACCAATGAGCTGTTTCTCATACTGTGTTAGGTATTAGTAAATTCAAAGTTTCTTGAAATGGCACTGATGATTGATGTTGCAAGAAATGACTCCAAGAGTATCACTGAGGTACAGTTTTTATCTGTTCCATCGAAACACTCATTTCTAGGTTCGCAGTCAGATTCAACTGACTCTCAGTCTTGCCCTTGTTTTTCTGTCTCTTTTCCTCTCTTAAATGATCGAGCCAGGCTTTCATGTTGTCAGTCATCAGTGGGTTTTCGTTTCTGCCCTGCAGCACGACGCCGTTTTCCGTACTGCGGTTGGAGGTGCTGAAGTGGCCGGCCTGGGACTCATCACTACTGCTCTCCTTCAGGTTGGCCGCTCCTTGCGGGCCCAAACAGGACAGCATCACGGGAAGGAACACAATCCCGTGCACAAGCCCGAACACGATGACCAGGAACACCGTCTTGAAAAACGTACGGAAGCCGTAGGAAGGCGCCGTGCTCAGAGCAACTATACCCAGAATGGTCGACAGCGACCCCTGGAGGATCGGCACACCCAGGCTGTACAGCGCGTGGACGGCTCTGGCGTTACGACCGCTGTCCTCCGCCGTGACGAAGGAGTAGACGATGTGGGCTGAAAAGTCGACGGAGAACCCGATGCACATGATGAGGTTGATCATGGACACGCTGTCCAAGTTCACGGCCCAGAGCGTCATGAACCCTAACACCCCCGTGCAGATGGACGTGATGGCGAGAGTCACCCAGACGGCGTTGATGGGATGGGGCATGAGGAACAGAGACACCACCAACATGGCGGCCGTGGCGATACCCAAGTTTTGCAAGGTGTTGGGCAGAATGGCGACGTACAGATCGTAATAAACGAACGCTGGGTGGTATACTAGTGTTTCTACGAATGCCTCAGATGCTAACTCTCTCATCTTCAGCATCATATTCTTCTCCTTTTGGGTACCGTCAATTTGTTTAGTCTGGACGAAAAACCGACTGGCTATGATTTCAGTGCCATTTTCTTTGAACAATATGTCATGAGCATACCTCTTAAATCCAGGTGTTTGAAGAAAGCCGTCTCTGAGGCACTGTATGAAGGACGTTTTGTTAGCAGGGTCAAGTGGTGGTAGAGAGGGATTGAGGAGGCAGATCGTGTATCCTAATGCCAAGTAATCACGTAGCCACGATTCCGATTCGTTCTTGCCATAAGTGAACTCAGTGTCCTCAAACCCCGCTAACATGTTCTCCAGGCGATCCTGCACGTCAGGGTCCCAATATTCTTAGTTCCTCTTTTACGTACCACTGCGACCCTCGGCGTCGTACTCGCTGAGTAGCGGTCGTCCTGCTCGAGGAAGCGGGCGACGTACGACGTGTCTCCCGCCAACTTGCTGAGCTGGACGCCCTCCCTCAGCTGGACGCACCCCCAGATCGCGACGCCCAGGTACCCGAGGAACACAATCATGACAGCTACTTTAACCCACACGTTTGTCATGAAAGGCCCGTAGTACTTTTTGAAGAACAACATGATGAGGTGGTCGTTGTGATCCTTGCCGTCCTGCTCGACCCCGGCCTTCGCGTCGCCCCTGCAGCACGACTGCTGACAGCAGCCGGCCTGGTCGTCTTTTGACGGAAGGGGCACCGTCATGCACGTCAGGAAATGTCGGTTCTGTTTCTCTCGGTGGCCGTCATATATCATACACGCCCCGAAGAAATTGAGCTGAAACAAGTACGCAAACACGATGGCGATCCCGCTGTACAT